TAATTTTGGTACAAGAACCGATTATGATATCTTTAACCTAACAATGACTAATCTGTCCCTAATTAACTAATCAGACACATTAATTAGGCTTAATCATGTTTTTTAAGAACCATAGGATTAATTTTCATCAAAGGCTGAAATGTAGTCCCCTTGTCTTACAAAATTGTCTTGGTCTCAAATAGAGCTAGGTTCAAATGTTTCCTGCAACTATTATGTGTATGAATTGACCAATCATAAATTAGTAAAAATTAAATTATTTATTAAATCAATAAGGGTATTTTAGACCTTTTGTACTTTTTAATAAATAGGGTCATTTAATGGAATTCATGCAATTAAGGAAAGAGAATATATATCTTTGACCTAGTATCTCTCTTATATATTCTTCAGGTTTTTGAATCCTTCATTCCACACATCCATCGTTGCATACAACAACCATTGTCGACGCCCTCTTCCATCTTATCATCTCCATCTTATCCTCTCCGTTGAGATTCATGGCCGGCCCAGGCATCCACGTATACTTCATTCTGAGTGAAACAGTGACAAAAAGAAGGGTATAAGGCTACAAAAAGGCAACCACAATGACGCCAAAAATCAGAAATTGATTCATCTATTTGGAATCTTGATATTCTTGCAAGCAATTGGAGTTGTGCGTGCTTGGATTGTTGCGACTTTGTGGAAACCGGAAAGAGTAATCCTGAACTCGTTCTCTTTTTATCTAAATTTTGGAAAGTTGTAAAATTTTAAAATTCTTATTTTTGTATTTTAAATAATGATTAGTGAATAGATACATTTATACAGAGGACTAAGAAACTATGTCAGGACACAAGCACTCAAAGAACGCATCCCACCCTTTTTCCTTGAGTTTCAATTAAGGTTCCACCTGTGTGATATAGTCTCAATTAATGGGGGCATCTGACAACAATTCTCCCAGAATGGAATATCAAGAGCTAATTCTATTAGAATGGAATCTCGATTTTATGAAAAGGAATCTCAAATTACTCGTTAGTATTTGAAGGTATACACTATTTTATTATAAATTTAATCACATTCATGTACTTATCAATTAGATATGTTGTATGTTTCATCAAATAAAGTATAAAGATCTGAGCATTTGATTTTGTCCACCAACTGTTTGCTAAAATGCTTGAATCGAATATTTCAGCCAGGTTTTTTTGTAATATTTGAACTGTCATATCTCTCTTGTACTAGCTTGGATTGATTTGAAATTTTTTCTGCATATTCTCCTTTCTGTTAGCTACAAGTTAGGTTCTGAAGTCATTTTAATTGGATTAATAGTGGCTCAGTTATAGTCCTTCGAATATGAGGTGTTATAGCTGTATTTTTAGCACTTTTACTTTGTTCAGAAATTTTTGTGATCGTTGAACCGCCATATCTCCCACATACTAGCTTGTAATAAGCTGAATTTTTTCCAACGTATTGTCCTCTGTGTTAGCTACAATGTAGTCTCTAGAATCACTATAATTAGATTAAGTCGATTATTTGGATCAAGCGACTCGAGGATTACTTGACCAAGTGACTCAAGGATTACATTCTATTAAAATACTTGATATTAAGCATTTGTTTTTGCTCTAGCCAACAAAAAACAATAAGTATATGCAGGATTAATTATTTCTTTGTTTATATATCTAATCTATATTATCAATTCATAAGAGCAACAAAAAAGGAAGTTTTTTTACAAAAATTTAAAAATAAAGAATCCAAAAAATTTTGTAACATAATTTAAAGAATCAAATTATTGATGTGCACTTTTTTGAAATAATCCATATATTCTTTTAGAATAGACGAGATTTATTCTGTCAAAACTACCAAAGTTTGGTTTGTTATTTGTCATATAAAAGCATTCTCAGAGAATGTTATTCTTACCTAATTCGATTTTATGACAGTTATTCTCATAGAATGCTTGATTTCATGGCAAATTTCTCACAGAATGCGTGAAGGGAACATGATGATCAAAGGCTTGAAGGTTGGATGATGGTGTGTGATGGGGATGAATAATGGTCATTGGGACATGGAGTGTGAGACGGAGATGAACAATAGTTGTCGAATGAAGATTATAAGAATTACTAACTCTAAACAATGTATTCTTATAAAATGTGATTGTAATGTGTGTTTTTTTAGACCATGATTCTTGAACAAAGTTAATAATATATGAGTATTCTGTAAGAATATTGTTATTCTTTAATAAATGATTCAATAATTTGTTATATTTTTAAGTTCACCGAATAAAAATATGTATTCTGTCAGAATATCTAATATTAATTATGTTACTGAACTATATTTTGTAAGAATAAAATCAGAAATATCTTTAGTAGTTTATGTTGACATTCTGTCAGAATAAATTCGGTTTTTATATAAAATTACATTATAATTAAAATTGAATTAATTTAAAAAATTCAGATTTTTAAAATTAGGAAAATTAATTTATCCTTAAAAATTCGAAAATTTCATTTTTTAAATATGGTTAATTGTCTAAAATACCATTATGTTGAAATTTGTGTGATTATATGGTACATGTTATCTCAATGTAATTTCATAGACTCTCAGATCAATGACCATTAATTCTATTCATCTATTGGTTCAAAATTGTGTTTACCAACATACAATAGATATAAGGAATACAATAACTTAGCCTTTTATATATATATATATATATATATTATATATATATATATATATATATATATATATATATATATATATATATATTATAATATATATATATATATATTATATATATCTATATATATCACTAGATTTTTTGTGGATTGATAAAAAGAAGAGAAAAAGTGTGGTAACCTTCGACCGTGCGACAAACCACCACATTGTCAGGGCACCACACCAAAGTGTTGTGTTATTGGTACGGTGTAAACCCTAAGTCACCGTCACTTTAGAATGCGGTGCTCGTACACTGTTCGGCTTAAACCTCTTATTTTTTTATAAACGATAAATGACTCAATAATTACGTCCAACAATTATTAATTTGGAAACCAACCTTTAAACTTCGGAAAGATTTTACCTGCCCTTGTGACTATCTTTCCTTTTCAATATGATTTCAAATAGAAGTTGACTTCTTTAATATGTACGTCACCTTTAAATGGACAACATGTGACACCAAACCGGCTATCAAACTTTTTCTCTATGTAACAATTAACATCACCACGCGCGGACATTTATTACTTGTAACTGTTCTATTTCAATAATATATATTAAAGAACGATTCTTAGAGTGTTACCTTAGAGTATTTAAAATTTATGGTTTCATGTAGACCTGACAATTTGATACACGACACGAACACGATACGAGTTTTTCGTATATGTGTTTTAGAAATTCGTATTTCGTGTTTATTCGTGTCTGACACGTATTTTAAATTCGTGTTTCGTATCTTACACGTGTCAAACACGAATTTACCTGTTTAGACACGTATAAGACACGATACAAATTCATGTTGACACGTGGCACGTACAAACACATATAAACACATATATACACATATATACTTTAGGGTTAAATTTTGTATTTTTAATATATTAGGGACCAATTTCGTAAATGTCAATAATTAGTTTATAGCCCTAGCTTAAAAAAAGCCATTAAAAACGTGTATATTCGTATTTTCGTGTAACACGGCTAAAAAGCGTGTCTATTCGTGTCGTGTCACGTGTCACACGAATTTTTTACGTGTCGTGTTCGTGTTTGATACCCCAAACATGTTTTATAATTCGTGCCGTGTTCGTGTTTACCAAATTCGTGTCGTGTAAATTCGTGTCTGATACGAATACACGACATGCAGACACGGATTGTCAGGTCTAATTTCATGAAAGGGTTGAATGAAAAGCATACTAAGTTAATTTGAACTTAAATGTTTATTCAATTGTTTGAATGCAAGAAAATGAGAGCTTTCCTAATATGGTTTTGAAGTGGCAGATTATTGAGCTTAATTTGTAAATTCAACAAATTATAAAAATTAAATAATCAAATTATATAAAAATAAAATATTATAAACCAATTAAACTTTATAAATTATAAATGTATTTAGTTTTTATAAACTTGGCATATAAAAAAGTATCATTGGTTTATAAATTTTCCATTGCTTAATATTTTGAAATTATATTTTGTGTATGATTAAAGCTTTTATATTTTGTACTCATTGAAATACAACATTAAATGTTTTTTTTTGTTTTTATTATATTATTATTATTATTATTATTATTATTATTATTATTAATAAGTGGAGATAGAGTATTATGAACTAATCACTAAAAAAGAAAGGTTATTTTAACGTTATAGGATATCCTCTCTAAAAATAACTTTTCCAAACAAAAAATTTATACTTAAAGAAATATTTCTAATACATTAATTTTTTTCTTTCTTTTGTAAACGTTACTTATCTTTACTATTGTTAACTATATGTTATAACATGTTATAAATTGCATTAATAAAACATTAGACAATTATAAAACTAATACATAAAGTCACAGCAGGCTTTTATCCGATTAAATTATCACAACATACTTTTATTCGGTTAAATCATTCAACCTTTTTACTGGTCATACTCTTGCACATTATTTCTCAGATTTAAAATAAGTAATGATACACAGCGGGTTGTTTGGGCTTAATCTCTTCTCTGGAAAAACCATTATTACCTATTAAATTTTCAAAAAACGCAAAAAAATCTAAATATTGACCGGACCTCTACGAAAAATTAGGTTTTATACTATGTCCGAATATTATAACTATATAAATTTATCGTCCAAAAATCCTTTCTATACATATAGATGCATGCATAAAATCACCCACATAGGCACATACAGTACACCTATCAAATTTAACCAAGTAGCTTTTTAACCACCCACATACACCTATAAATTTAAACAAGTCGCATATAGCTAAGGGTGGCATTAATACAACTTCAACAAATTTTGACACCTTTCTCTACAGACCAAAAGTGTTTGATCTCATTCTTTCTATTAAGAGTTTTCAATATGTGTTCCATCGATGTTGCTGCTTCTTCTGTTTCCAGTAAGTACTCTGCTACAGACGTTCTGAAGAATCGAGTAGGAGTTTACATGGAGACGACAAAGAAGTTTTTAGGGTTGACATGTCAGAAAATTTTGAAAGTGGGTCGAGATGATCCACGAAGGGCAATTCATTCAGTAAAAGTTGGATTATCACTCACTTTGGTTTCTTTGCTATATCTTTTAGAGCCTTTGTTCAATGGGATCGGGCAGAACGCCATTTGGGCTGTCATGACTGTTGTGGTTGTGCTTGAGTTCACTGCAGGTAATTTATTAAGTTTTTATATATAGTTAGTTACAATTGGTTTCATGCATCAATAATTGATATATTAAATTTAATGGTTTATATATGAAGTTCTAAATTAATTAATAATATTTATTTGTTTATTTATTGAAAGGGGCAACGTATGCAAAGGATTGAATAGAGGTCTTGGAACACTGTTGGCAGGATCATTGGCTTTCTTATTCGAGTATATCGCTAGAGAAACTGGGAAGGTTTTTTGTGCCATTTTCATAGGAGCTTTGGTCTTTTTGATAGGTAAATATTGAACACTAGCTGTTTATTTACTTTGGAGTAAATGTAAAAAAACAACAATAATACTTCGATTTGTTTCTGAATTATAATACTTTCTATGTTATAATTTATATTTTCAATTTTTTATTGAAACACCTTTTGAAGGGGTGTTTGACTAAGCTTATGACTTTTCATAAGTATTTTTCAACTTATAGCTTATAATTAATAAGTTAGGGGGAGTTACTTATTGATTTTGATTTATTTCCGATATGATACATTGATAAGTTATTTCTATCCAAACACTCCTTTTAACTTATACAGGTATGGAACTGATAATAAGTTAAAAAATGAGCTTAAATAAGCTTAGCCAAACACCCTCGAAAATCTGCATAACTATAATATTGTATTTTAAAAAAAAATTATTATAACAGTATACTTTAAAATATCTATTCAATTATAACAAATTTACTTTAACAAATCATAAAAGTATATTGATATTTTTTGCATTTAATCATGTTATGTTTACATTTTATATCAATTTGTGTTTGCAGGAGCTATGAGTACGTATTTGAGGTTTTTTCCAACAGTAAAAAAAAATTATGACTACGGTGTCATTATATTCCTCTTGACATTTAATTTAATTACTATTTCAAGTTATCGTGTTGAAGACGTGCTAAAGATAGCTCGTGAGCGACTCTACACCATGGCTATTGGATCTGGGGTTTGCATTGTCATGAGCCTTTTTTATCTTCCCGAACTGGTCAGGAGAAAATCTTCATAATTTTTCGGTATCTAAAATTGAAGGTTTGGCAAAATCAATTGAAGGTAAGTGATTACGATTCTTGAAATATCGTGTTTCAATAGTTTTTGCAATTTAAAAGGTAATCATAAAAAATATGAACAATTTTATAAAACATTATCGGGTGTTTGGGGCTGTGTTTCAAAAATAATTTAACTTTTTAGAATTCAATAAGCTAAATTGAGTACTTTTCAAAATCATTTTTCCCCATCTTTAATAAATAGTTTTCATGAAATCTAGTAACTCAAAACTCTTTATAACTTTGAGATAAAAACACTATAATATCCTTAATCAAAACTCTCTTTTCTTTTCCTTCTTTTCTTTTGTCATTTACAACTATAAATAGTTTTTCAAACAATAAATAATTCATAACTTATAACTTTTTGTTACCACGTAAACTAATTCAAACATTTTGAAAAAAAATCTATTTTGCTACCAAATCCCTATTCTAA